AAAAAAAAAAAAAAAAAAAAAAGAGCATCTGGCAGCAGGATATTCTTTTTCCTAGACAGCTTCCCAGCCTAACCGGTGTACAAGAAAAATGGGATTTTAGTTACTCAGGGGTTGAAAGAAGGGGGAGAAGAGAGCACAGAGCACAGGTTCTCTGTGTGCTCATCTTAAAGATGGTCTTTCGTGGTGTGTTGGAACCAACGCTTTCAGAACATTGTGCTCCAACTCAAACCAGGCAGCCAAGGTTCATCTGGGCCCTACAGGACACAGCCACGATGAATCCGCACACAGGACATTGTCCTGTGCCAAAGAGGTCATCTCTGGAGCTCCACCAGCCCAGTAATGTATCCCCAGGAGCCCCCAGCCTGGGACAGAGCAGCGAGGCTTCCTGGTGGCTAACAGGAACCAAAGGGCACTGAGGAAACCAGTCACCTTGGCTCCTCTGTGGCTCCTCTGCCCAAACCTGCTGCTGGTGGGTTTTGCTGCAAGACTGGCACAGTCAAGAAAGAGGCTGGGTTTTGGTTTCCTTCCCTGTGGCTGTTTTTGTTCCCTCCCATTGGCAAGCATTTTTGAGCACTGGAGGGAAAAGCAGACGTTGCACAATAGCTTTGCCCACCCACCCCGTTTCTGTTTGCACACTTCCATCCGAGCAGCACCGCAGTGGAGAACGGTGCGGACACATGGGATGCTGGTTTCATTTGTTGGCCATCTGCTAATTGGGTTCTGTTCAGAGGGAGCCCGCACAGTGCCCAACTCACTCCTGATGCAAAAGCCATCGCTGCTCCTGGAGGGAAACGCCAGCTCCTCTGGGCAACGTGGCCGTGGCGAGGGGCAAGCACGAGCTGCCTCCGGGAGAAAGACACCTGGACTCGGTAAAATACTTGGAGAAAGTTTCCTTTAGGCAAGGAGCCAAAGCACTACTTACATTCTCCTGTTGTTCTGGAAGAGAGAGGGCCTCGTAATTAGCATTTGATATTTGGAACAAGTAACAATTTTTTTTTAATCAAAAGAGTTTTAATTTCAGGTGTTTATACATTGAGAAAGCAGATTAAGTATGTGATAGACTGTAGAAAAATCTAATTACACATCTGCATTGCTTTAAAACGCATCCTTTCTTGAGAATTTGCTGCAAGTTCTTTTCTCTACAGAAATGTTAGGCGGTTCCATGTAACAGGTCAGTAAGCTGGAGGAAAAGTTAAAACGGAGGTCAGCTGTAGTTTACCCAGAAAATACTAAATTAATTTTACCGACCTCCTTGACTTAGATCAGGACTTCCTGGAAAATTTTTGAAAAGGGGCATTTATCCTTTTTCTTTCACTATATCACCATTGCATTAACAGCAGAGCAATTGCAGGGTTGTACCTTCTCATGCGAAGGTCTTTGTAAGATCTAAACAGAAGAGTTTGGTATTTCTCCCCCCCCTCCTTTTTTTATGCTTCACCCATCCATTCACTTTCTTTGAAAGCCTCAAAGCTTTTCACAAACCCCATGAGAGAAGCCCTGCAGCCCAGTAGAGCAGCATTAGTACCATTTTAAATACAGTAAAGCAAAGCAAGGCAGACCAAGACAGCCCCGTTCACAGCGGAAAGCACAG